GCTGAACTTAATTTCTAAGTGCAGAACATATTCAGGTAACATAAAATAACAAAGTGCATCAGTATAAAAAATACTCAGTTAATATTCAGCAGTACTGTTACAGTATCTGGGTTTGGGGTTTTTTGGTGGGGTTTTTTATTGGGTTTTTTTTCCTCCCTGATACTGTGAGATTCAGGATGAAAAGTTCTTTTTATGATATATTGATTAATGAAGACGGGGGAAAAAAAAACATCAGAAAATATTTCATTCTTTAGAAAAAGAAGGATGTAGAGACCTTGGAAGAAGCTGGCAGGGCAGAAAAAAGGGATGAGGGACTGGATGAGAATCTTTCCTGCGCAAATAAAAAGTGAGACCTTATCAAAAGAAAAAGTTACTAAGGATGAAAAGAGGCAAGGCCTTAAAAAATCATTTTCTTATGAAAAAAAAAAAGTAAATAGCTTTTCATTGTGAAGTGAGCATTTTAAGCTCCTTGATGTAGCTGTTGATTTTGATCTAGTGTACCTTCCTAAGTTACATCCTAGTCTTACAAAGCCTATCTGATACAGCCGCTGCACCATCTGGTTATCAATGCCTTGAAAACCTGCTTCCCTTTGACTAGAGAACAAATAGAGATGATTTTCAAGAAGGATTTGTTCTTTATGTAAATTGCTCTTAAACATCTCTTTCTCCTTTAGCTGCATCTAGCCTGAATGGTTCTGAAAGAGGCTTATGATTTCCTTAGAAAGAAAAGCCAAATCATTTATTAAGTCTTTATAAAAGAAATAATAGTAGAAGGACAAGGAACAGAGCCCTCAGTTTTGACATTCCAGTAGAGAAAGTAGTTGTCAAAAACACATAGACAGAAAGAAAATTTAAAAAGTAGAATTCTGTAACAGTTTGGGGCTCCAAGTCAATTTGAAGGAGCAACTAGTGAGTGAACTGACGCTAAGTGCTCCTCTTAGCCATCATTTGGCATTATATGTAAAAGACTGGTTAAGTGCAATTAAATTATGCTAACATGTGCTGACATACTAGCTGTCAGGGAACTGGCATGTAACTTCCAGTGTTCATAGACTGACTCTGAAATAATATAGTTAATTCATCTAATTTTTAAGATAACAAACATTTCAGGCCCTCCTGGAATGAGGAAATCCAAGAGTAGCTACAAAAAGTAAAAAAGAAAAAAAAAATAAAGAAACAATTTTTTAAAATTGCAAATATATTCAACTGGATGAAAGATCTCTTTTTATAGCAGCAAAGAATAAACGCACAGGACAAAAAATTTTACCTCCTGTGCTGGTTTGGGCTGGGATGGAGTTAATTTTCTCCGTAGCAGCTCGTACGGCCATGGTTTGGATTGGTGCTGGGAACAGCGCTGGTCACAGGGGGGGTGTTAGTTACTGCTGGGCAGGGCTGACCCAGAGCCAAGGGCGCTTCTGCTCCTCACCCCACCCCACCAGCGAGGGGGCTGGGGGGGCACGAGGAGCTGGGAGGGGACACAGCCAGGACAGCTGACCCCAACCGACCAAAGGGGGGTCCCAGACCGTGTGACGTCATGCTCAGCCGGGGGAAGGAGGAGGAAGGGGGGACGTTGGGAGTGATGGCGTTGGTCTTCCCAAGTCACCACTACACGTGATGGAGCCCTGCTCTCCTGGAGATGGCTGAACTCCTGCCTGCCCATGGGGAGCGGGGACTGAATTCCTCGTTCTGCTGTGCTGAACTGTCTTTTGCTCAGCCCACGAGTTTTCTCACTTTTACCCTTTCAATTCTCTCCCCCATCCCAGCCGGGGGGAGTGAGCGAGTGGCTGCGTAGGGATGAGCTGCCAGCTGGGGTTAAACCAGGACACATCCAAAAAAGTCTCAATGGTCTTTTTCCCCCCCCAAGCACCACTGGCAGTCATTCATAACACAGAAAAAAAAAAAAAATGGGCCTGAATTTTAGATTTCATACAACAGCAGCATCAATCAGATATATATTGATAATCCCGAAACATAAACCAGGAGTAAGAGCTTCAGCAGTTTTTAATGAAAAGTCAGATCTCGCTTACCATGCCATATTCTTCCATGTCCGTCCCATAGGGTAGCCAACATTTGTTTTGCACCATCCCAAAAATCATTGGAATAAGCTTCCTTTAGTTCATTCTTCCTTTTATAAATATGAAGAAGAAGAATGGAAGTGTAGAAGAGAATGACGAGAACTCCCGGAAGTAGAAAAACTACAGCAAGAGGAAAAAGCACCCATAAAAGGTAGACTGCATAACTCAGATAATCTTCAATATGCTCCACGCCAGTCCATTCTCCCAGAATGTAAGTCAGGCAGGTTAAGTAGGACATAGGTATCGGTCCTGCAGTACAGGATTCATTTCCACCTATCATCTCCTGTTTAATCAAAAAAAAAAAAAGGCAGATGAATAAATCCTCAAAAAAGATAGATCTGCCTATACTGTTTAATCATACAGAAAACCTCTCTGATGCATTTCATTCATATACCATTTACCCCACATCCCAGCAGCACCTATTAGAAACATAATGGTTCAAACAGCAAAACTTTTACTTGATTTTTTCAGTCCTTTTGTGTAGTGGAAATGCTGACAATTCTAACTGAGAAAGACAGTGCAATTGCTTGATCTCAGGCTAATCTTTTATCTCATTAAAAACCGTTCAACTTACGCAGATCCAGAACATTTATAGTGTCACCAATACCAATTTATACTGCATTCTTGATTTTCAGAAAGCCGTATCGATCAGTCTAATTTACTGTTCTACACAATACACACTACACTCAAAACCTCCTTCCAAGCACTTATTACAACAGGAAAAGCACAATCTCAAACCCAGTGCTATAAAAACCCTACTGAACCCTTCCACTATCCACAAGCATACGACGATTCAGGAAGAAAACGGTCTCAAATACGCAAGTCTCACTCCAGTAAAGACCTTTAACTGTACCTGGAAGTTTACAGAGAGCAAAATGCCAAGTCCCAGAGCACAACACAGAAAGGCAGCAGAAAGCACAGGGAAAAAAGACCACAAAAAGTCCTCCAAAAATTTTTAACTTTACTCTTGCTCTGGTTTTGCAAGCAACAGGTGACTGAAATTCAGAAGATAATTTTGCTAATACTACCAGAACCCTGATGACTACAAAAACTACAAAGCAGATCAGTTTTACTCCACATTTGCTATGAGATGTTGAAACACGTACTAGAACAGAACTCATCTCACTTATCTCCCAGTTTCAATTTTTCCTCCCATTCTGATAGAGCAAGGATGTCTCTTTTCCTTCTGGTTTGAAATCACCCTCAAGACAACTCCTACTAAGAAGAAGAAAGCTGATCTCGTGACAAGGACTTTGCTCCCACGATCCATGCCTGTTCCACTAACTCAGGCTTACAACATTTTGCTCCTCAGCATGTTCTTGAGGACAAGCAGAGCAGCTGATTTACCCTCAGCGACGTATAAGCACGTAGCATTAGCGACACGCACGTCACTGATTTCATGCATGTGCGTTCGGGGGGGTGAATTTAGGGGGAAAGAACAGGAGAGAGCGAGCGTGTGGGGGAGCAAGAGAAAGCTCCTTCTCATTCCAGTCGCCAGAGCCAAACTCCAGAACGTGTCAGGCAGCAAACACCCACAGCAAGCACAAGAAACACAACTTGTGAGACCGAGCCAGATTCAGGAGCGGCATTCAGCACTACAGTATTTACCAGATTGTTACACCTGGACTTCCCCAGCGGTGCCACCTACCAGCTGGAGAACAATAGGGAGCGTGGGTTATGGCACAGAAGCATTTTTCAAAACTCACGAGGTGATTACACAGCTTTAAAGATTACTTAAAGTCACACTCTCCCGCCCATTGTATTTTTAATTGTTTACAGCTTTCTCCAAAGACAAAATCCTCACCAAGTAAATTTAAAGTCCTGTCCGCACACGTCAGCCTTGCAAAATATTTCTTGTCCTTTTGCCTGTAACGTTAGATGCAATACCTCAAATGTAATCATCGCAGTTTTATAAGTCTCCTTGCGTATCTATGCACTAACCTGTAATAAAAATTAAAATCCGACATCTTCTTTGCTGCCAACCACAGAGCTAACATCTAAAGGACTGCCTTCTCTTAGAGACAGTCAACTCTACTCCGAACAATGCCGTTTCCTCAGCTTGAAGAGAATCATAGACTAATTTATAGGGGAAAGACTCATTGGACAGCACTTGTCCAGCCTCTTGCTAACTAAGGAGTTACATCAGGCTGCTCAGGGCCATTTCCAGTCCAGTTTGTAAGATCTCCAGGGACGGAGATCCCACCACTTCTCTGGGCCCCTAAACCAGTGCTTGACCACCCTCATGGTGAAAATGTTTTTCCTTATTCCAGTTAGAATTCCCCTTACTGCAATTTGTGCCTGTTGCCTCCTGTCCCTTTCCTGAGAAGAGTCTAACTCCCCCCTCTCTGTAACCACCCGTTAAGAGCAGCAGTGATCCCCCTTAAGCCCTCTCTTCTTCAGGCTGAACACACATACACACAGCTCCCTCAGATTCTCCACAGACACCATGGGCTCCAGCCACCTAACAACACCGGTGCCCTTCTCTGCACCCCTTCCAGTTCATCGGCATCTTCCTTGTATTGCAGGGCTCTAAACTGGACTTGTGGCCTCAAAAGTGCTGAAAAGAGGGTAACAAATATTTCCTCGATCTAATGGCTACGGCCTTGCAAACATAGCCCAAAATGTAGATCACCATCCTCGCTCATATTTGACTTACCACCTACCAGATAAAGGCCTCCCCTCCAGGCCTTTCTCTCCTGTAATTTTGCTCCCCCCATACAAGTCCGGCATTTGTTCTGATCACCCATGGTATGCCCACAAAAATACTCCATATCCAAGCCCAAGCGTGACTTATGTCACTGCCACACTGAACACCCTACCAAAGGCAATGGCAGTGAAGACAGATTCTGTTTCCATGATCAAAAAAAGCAGAGGATGTTCCACATTGAATAAAGGTCCAACGTAGCTACTAACAGATAACATCATTTCGGTCTGTTCCAACTTCACAGCTGTCTGCTCCACGACTGCCCAGAGCAGTTAAAGTTACAAGATAAAGCACACTGCCTTCTCAAACCACCTGCAATGTCACGCTGATCAGGACCTCCTTCAGGCAAAAAGAGACTATCCTGCCCTCCTTGACAGTGGTTTTCTGACATCTGCCACCATCCAAATCTGAAAACTACAACGGGGTGCAGTACTACTGAGTCTCACCCTTAGCCAACTGACAGGCAGCATCCCTCTGTAGGATGAGCATACCCTTAAAGGGCTTTTTATTTTAACCGACATCACTAACATATTTCCTGTCACGCAGTTCAAACTAAATATTTTTAATTTAACTTCTAACTTCCTAATAGAGCAGCTTATACATATTCTCACTAGATGAAAACAGATGCAGTTCCTCATTTGACTAATGACAGCGCACACAGACTCACACTGACACTTAAGGCTTTATGTTGACGGTGAAATGGAAGCAAGGCTAACATAGAATTCCTTTCACTGACTTCCAGCCTTAACTAAACTACAACAGCCCTCTTCAGCGGCAGTCAGCAAACACTGGGTTAACTCCAGACCCTACTGATCATGCTAGAAGCAGCAATTATGGAAACCACACACAGCATCATCTCAGCATGTATACGAAATGTGTCAGTGAAACCTCTGGAGAACATTCCAGTATCTCCAAACTAGAAAGATATTGGAAAGCAACAGCCAACACAAATACACTGGTTTCCACTGCACGGCAGTCAGTTACGGACGGTATTTCTATCCGAATGAGCACTGCCAGCACAAACACACCAAAAAGCAGAAGATCCTGTTAATCCCGCTAATGGTATCTGCAACTGGAGAGAGATCCTAGAAGCCAGAGGGTGGTTTTGCCCTTCTTTTGGAACAAGAGCTGGCCTGCTTCTTGCTCCCGTGACGGCAGGACAGCGGCTCCTTCTGCTGGAGGCTGGAGGGGAGGGTCGAGATTCTCGTTTTCTGGCACGAAGGACACAACCCCAGCCCGGCTGCCCCAGTTAAGCGCCCTCCGGCCTCCCCGTCTCCCGTCGCAGTCCTCGTCCCGGCGGTATTTCAAGCAAGGCCTCAAGCTCGGTGGTGGCCAACGCCAGCCACCTCCCGCCAGGCCCGGGACGGGGAGACACC